GAAATGTTGCTACAACTTTAAAAGCACAACTACAATGACGTGGGAAAATACCCGAACAAAGCTGAATGTCATACATGTAAGTACCCGCGAAAACTTAAGAAAACATATATGACTTTTCTTTTCTACAATAAATCTTTTCACAGTGAGCTTGTGAAATTTTGGTTCTGTGGGGCTGAGTTTCTGGACACCTGAGATTTCTTTCTATAGTTAGTGTGACCTTTTACAGTTTCAAGTTGACCACATAGTTCAAGACTATACGAAAACCAAGGAACAGATGTGAGAAAAACAAGTATTTCATGGTAATTTTGATGGGTTATGATGATTTTTTTCTTTTTCATAGGACTCTTGTGGAGATGCTTAAATCAATGGACTTGTCTACTCTGAAACCATTTCTTCCTGGACAACCAGAAAAATTTGCTGCATTCTTGGACAGCGTGATCAGCAGTTAACTATGTGGGTTATAATAAGAGAGCTGCCTTAACTGAAACTGGCATAAGATCGATGCAAGTTTACAATAGTATTTGTCACCTCCAATGAAATTAAGAATATAAGCTTTCATTCAACAAGGGTCAGTTTTTATGTAAACCAGCTGATGTTTTCCTACCGCATCTTGTAAACCTCAAATGGAGATGAGAATATACCGTATTTTTGGACTATAAGACACACTTTCCCCCGCAAAAGTGGGTGGAAATGTCAGTGCGTCTTGTAGAGTGAATATGGACCCATTTTTGGCCTTCCAAAGCCTCAACACATCCCATTTTTGGACTTCCCAGTGGCCAGAAGCACTCTGCAGGCCAAAAACATGCTCCAGTGGCCTCAGTGGGTCCCGTCTTCGGCCTCCTTGATGCTGGGGAGGGCAAAAACGGGACCCACGGAAGCAAAACACGATTTTTTTCTTGTTTTCTTTTTCTAAACCAAGGTGCATCTTATAGTCTGAAAAATACAGTGCATTGCCTGTCATATAAGGCAAAGAAGCCCTTGTCTTGGTTGACAAAGTAGACAAAGTGCCAAAACCAATCTGTTATGATATTTATGTTATGCAAACCCAGTCCCATTCAAGAAACCATGATTAAGCAGGATGATTTCCTACAGTATATGAACAAAACATACAATTTTTGAATTAGGCAATTATGGCTTGTTCAGTAAACCATAACGATCAATTTAATGTTTCTTTTATAAATGTATCAATTTAATATGAATAGCCAAGACTTTCCCATACTGTTTAAATGTCTAGATCCTGACATCATTATGCATAAAAATAAATAATTTCTGTGCAATCTATAAAGCCTTCTCTTGTTAAATGTGTGTGTGATTCTTCAGTTTGTTCACATTTTCACAATTTGATTTGGATCTTTTTTTCATGGAAACCATTAGCACCACACTGTGGTTGGATCTAAATATATGAGTTTCAGAGCCAGTCATTTTGCTTGGTCAGTTGGTTGGACTATTGGTCAGATTTGAAATCATGTTTGCTCCAGAGATGGAGAACCTCTTTTAATTGCCTGCACTTAAAGATCATTGGGGCCCCATGGTGGAACAACCAGCAGTAGAATCACTCCATTCCCCAATTCCTTATTTTGTGTCTTTTTCTCCAGTTTTATTCAGCCATTCCTTCTTCCTTACATTTCTGGGACTCTCACAGGTAATTATGGCTAGGGTAAATCTCTTGCCTCAATCTGCCCTAAGTTCAAACCGACTGCAAGCTGCTGGATTTTGTTCAAAGAAAATGTTTTCACGGTAACCTCAGCATGGCAGACCAGCAAGGAATATAAATCCTTCCATTCCCCACTATCCAGTCAGAGCTGAAGAAGCTTCTTGGATGAGAAGCAAAATGTCTTCAAAGAAAAAGCAAGAAAGTCCAGTTGCTTCTTGAAAAAGCACCTTTGGACACCATGACCTGGACGACTGAAAATTTCCATAGACTCTGATTTTTAACTCTAAGGAATAGCCAGTTTCTCATCCTTTGGGCTAAGATCAAGCATGAGTCACTCACCAATTACTGGAACCTAGGTCCAAGTTGCTGTGGGACCATGTAGAGAAAGCAACTTTGAAGCTCACATGGAGTATTACCACATGGAGCAGATAGGTTTACCCAGTATGTTGTCAAACAGCTGTCTGGATTATAATAAATCACAGTTACTAAGCTGAACTGTTTGAACCATTACTGTCTCTGAAAAGATTACAACCACTTTTACTTTAATTTAGCATGCACTGTTTAAAACAAGCCCATGGGTTACTTTACAGGACCCCGGTTTGCATGTAATCTCCAATCCAAGGAGACATCTGGTAACTGTCTAAGCAGTTCCCAGTAAATCACAGATAAATTCATCGTGGGAACACAGCTGCTAGATCAGTGGTTGTGTCAATGTGCAACACCTGGAGCCTCCATTAACCCAACTGACCCCATACAATAGACAAGCTAATTCACTAATCATAGAATATAGAATCTTAGGACTGGAAGGGACTTCAGAGGTCTTCTAGTCCAACCCTCTGCTCCAAGCAGGAGACATTTCCATCCCTGCCAAGGCCTCCAATTGGCCTGTCAAGCAGACTGGTCCGTAGAGTGCTCCCAAACAATAACCCCACTCTCCTCCCTACAGGTCAAGGCCACGCGGGGTTTCCTTCCCCATCCAGAACCTCAGCCCCACGAAACAGGATCTCAGCCACTCCGAAGCGCCTCGTGGACAAGCTAAGCGCGGGCTGCGGGCTTCCCACGTGCGCCGGGCGGGCAGGCGCGCGCTTGGCCCGGGTCAGATTGCCGACAGCTGAGAGCCCTTCTGGCCGCCGCCTCCCACCCCGCGCTCGCCTTGAAAGGGCCGGCCAGAGCCACACCCTCCTCCCCGGCCGCGCTCGACCCTACTCTTGCGCGTTGCTTCCCCGCACCCTTTGCCCGCTTGGGGATCCTCGCCTGGTCCCCGCCCCAGCGCCTTTTCCTGAGGTTGTGCTCACCGCAGCCTCGCCTGCCTGCCTGCCTGCTTTTCCCCTACCTTGGCCATGCAGAAGGGCTGGAAGAAGTACTTTGGCCAGAAGTCCCTCAGCGAGGTGACCATGGATGAGTACCTGGGTAGTCAGGGGCTCTACCGCAAGCTCACGGCCAAAGACGCCACTTGCCTCTTCCGGGCCATTTCCGAGCAGGTAAAGCCCGGGCTGGCCCTGGGGACGACGCCCCTCGGCTCTTGGCCCCGAGCGGGGCTGCGCTCCGGCTTTTGGGGTGAAGGGGGGGCGAAGCGCGACTCGGTAAACCGTGGGTACGCGAAACACCCGCGAGCAGAGACCGGCCCCTCCTCGTTAATGTTGGGTTTGGGGAGTCTCTATCCAAGCGGAGCAGCGGCCAAGCAGATGAAACCTAAGGAGCCAGACCTCCTTTCACCGCCGACCTCTTTGGCTTTAAGTTAAAGCCTCGAGTTTTGTTTCTGGTTTGTAAAAATGGTTGAATGCACCTTTTCCTCCTTGAAAGGATTTACCGGTTGCCCTTTAAAGAGAAAAAAAATATCCCAGGACAAATTATAGTAAATGAATTGGTTGGCCCAGATAGAAGTATTCTGTAAAGTATGAATTTAACACAGCCTGGTGAAACGGTCCTGCTGCTTTATTAAAACATGTCTAACTTATAAGCAACTTTTTAAAAAGTTTAAAAATTCAGACTTGGGTTGGGTTTGACTTCCTGTCTTTTGTGAAGCCAACTACCTTTGTTTGTAGTCCTAGTTAAATGATACATAGTGGCTTACCAATCTGCCATGATTAAAATGGGGTTTAGCAGTGTGAACACACACAAAGCATTAAGAAATGGTGAAGTTGGTGTGCTGCATTTTTCTTGACCTAGCACCCAAATTGATTTGTTGGGCCTAAAACTCTCAAATTAGGAAAGACTAGTGCCAAATGTAGCACATTTCACACTTGTTATTTTGCTGCAGTTGAGCAAATGATAAGTTAATCAGGTCCTTGTGCAAAGGCTGGCAGAGTTTGTAATCTTATTATGGGTTATTGTTTGTATTTCGGATCTGAACTATGGAAAAGTATGGTGTGCTTGCTGGGTTTTGCCTGGACTGCAAGGGAATGTAACATTTATAAACGAACATTCAACACTTAAAAAACTGGAGCAACCGTTTGAGTAGCTAAGGGCTTGTAGCCTCTTTTCCATCTGAGTTCCATGGACTACTCTGAGATGTAATGGGTCTCTGGGAATAATTATGAATGCTCTAATGCAGTGTTTTGCAACCTTAGACATTTTAAGAGATAGGGGAAACTCCCAGAAATACCTACTGCTGGCTTGGGTATACTGAGAGTAGAAGACCACACCTCTTAAAATGGCTAAGATTGGGAAACACTGCTCTAATGTAACCATTTATGGAGTATGCATAATGCTTGACCCCTTATCTAGCTAATTTGAAATAACAATGCATCTGCCTATTTTGGCTAGAAGTGACCCAAATACCATTTATTGAACAAATGTACTCTGTACAAGATCTAAACTGTTTCAGGATATCACCAAAGATTAAGGCTAAACTTGGTAAGTGTGTATGTTTTTTGATCCTTGAATTTAGTATCAAATCAAAGGATCATGCTTTATTTGTGCTTCTGTTTGCAAGCTCTTAAGACAAGGAAGCACATTAATCACATTCCAAAGTTAAGTTGAAGGATTTCCTTAACATTGTTTTAATCTTTGAATATTTTAGCAAGCATTAATAACTGATGCTTCAGAACAGAGATGTAATTTGCACATAGCTCTATTCCACTTCATGAAACTGTAGTTGTTTCATTCTGCCCTAAATTTTAATTGATATATCAATGGTTTTAGGTTTATGCTTGTCAGATTCATCACATTGCAGTCAGAAATGCTTGCGTTTCCTTCATGAGGAAAAATCAGATAAATTTTGAGTCTGTGAGTATATTTGTTTTTGAAGTATGTTTTAAAGTATGTATATAAACCTCTCCAATCATATATACATTTAATTTATACATGTTTGATTTTGAAATATATTTAAGTGGGGAATTGAATTCTAATTTTTGTTATATAGTAATTTTCTTAGCTGCTCAGAGTTAAGTGTCAGGTAGTATTGAAGTTTCATTAAAAATTATGCCAAATCATTTCAGAATGTAAGATCTCTGGCTGCTTTCTGAGCTTGGTGGTTTTCTTGCAGACTTTTCACTACCAAACTAGATAATAACATGAGTGCTGGAGGGGAGGGGATTTGCATTTTAGTATGACTAAAAACACTTTTAAACCCATTTGCAGATATATGTATAGGCACATACATACTTTATTGTGTCAGATCTCCAAATCAAGCCACTTTGATTTAGTGAGTTGTGTCAGTCTTTGGTGGCAAAAATCAGAAGTCTGTAGCATCTTTCCAAATGTTATTAAAAGGCACAAGTTTTTGTGAGCTGTAGCTCCCTTTATCAGCTGCAGAAAATAGTTAGCCACTGTCTATTTGATGAAGGGAGTTGTACCTTACAAAAACTTATGTTACCTGGAAAGGGTGTTAAAGGCTCCTGATATTTTTCCATTATAGATCAGCTAAGTTCTTCTCCCACTTTATTTAGTACTTTCTTCTATGTTGCAACATCTGATAATGTATTTACTGGGATGTTTCAACATGCAATCATACATAGGACACAGGCACAAGTTTTGTTCAGTTCATGGTTGCTGTCACCCTGTATAAGTATGAATCAGTGGTGGCTTTGGAGCGCAGTGGCTCGACTGGTTGGGATGCTGGGTAGGAGGTTAGGAAGCCCATCTTTGAAACCAGAGAGCTATCCTGGGGCGGGGTTGAGCTCTCGTCTTTCACTCCAGCTCCTGCTAAGGATATGAAAGAAACCACCGACTGGGTGTCCCCAAGGTGGCAGTGATATCACCAATTAATTATTTCAACCTGGAAGTTCTTAGAGCTTCTAACATGGGTGCAGAGTTGTGGCTTTCACCAATTGGTGGTCTAAACATGAGTTGAATGTTTTACTCCGAATTTAGGATATTGGATAAAAGCAAAATCATTAATTGCATTCCCTTTCTCCCTTTTCAAATCAAGTATGTGGAAGGCTCCTTTGAAAAATACTTGCAACGACTTGGAAATCCCAAGGTAAGAAAGATTTGGCAAATATGCTGTAGCTCATCAGAACAGCTAAACAGAAGCCCCTGAAAGTTTAAAGCAGTGTAAAATACAAAGTTGTACAAATAGTCCTCAACTTACAACCATTTGTTTAGTGGCCATTCAAAGTTACAATGGCTCTGAAAAGAGTGGCTCATGACTGGTTTTTCACATGAAATGATTGTACAGCATCCCCATGGTCAGGGATCAAAATTCAGGTGCTTGCTAACTGGCATCTATTTATGATGGTCCCAGGATCATGTGATCACCTTTTGTAACTTTCCAGCTGGCTTCCGACAAACAAAGTAAATGGTGGGGCCAAATTTGCTTAACAATCCCACAATTTGCTTATCAACTGCAGTGATTTGCTTAACAACTGTGACAAGAAAGGTTTCAAAATGGGGCAAAACTCACTTAATAACTGTCTTGCTTAGCAACAGAAATTGAGAACTGTCTGTATGTTAGGGTTTTCCTTTACTAGCATTTAAATTCAAATTGGCTTTGTTTAGGCTAGAGATCATTTTTTCCCAATCCAGATGGGTTATATTTTCTTTATTAGTTAATGATATATGTACATACATATGTATTGTCAGATACAAGCAAGGGTCTTATCTGGAGAAATTTTTTTGCAGATTTTAGTCTTGGAAAATAGTAATAGTAACTTCAAAAGTGAAATGTAGATCTCTCTTTTTCCACCAAACATGTTGAAGTTATCTTTTTTTGTAAAAATATGGAAGTTGACATCAATTTTGCTACTGTATTTCACTTGAGTTATAAAATTAATACATTGATGCTATAATGCACCTATTTCTTTTGCATTTCTGTGTGACTTTTGCTCCTTTAAGAAAATATATATTTCAATTTACTTTATGAAAATGCTGATATCCTGCCCTATTTGCTCCAGGGAGTTTTGGGATATGTGATTGAAAAATACTGTAATTTTGATCAGGTGACTGTAGGTACACTGCAACAGTTGTGTGAAGATTGGTTGTAGGTAACCTTTTTCCAGTACTGGTAATAACTTTGAATATTCACTAAACAAATGGTCATAAGTTGAGGACTATCTCCAATGTAACCAATGTTGGATAGTCTAATTCAGGGGTGTCCAAGCTTGGCAACTTTAATACTTATGGACTTCAACTCCCAGAATTCCTTAGCTAGCATGGCTGGCTGGGAAATTCTAGGAATTGAAGTCCATAAGTCTTAAAGTTGCTAGGTTTGAAAACCTCCTGGTCTAATTTGATTTAATCATGTAGCTGCTTGGTTTGGGAATCACTGTTGTGTTTGCATTTTTAAGGAGCCCTCTGTGTGGAATGTGTTATGGCAATCTAATATGAACATTAATGCTTGTGTTATTAACTAGATTGAGGAGTAAATGAGGACTTATGTTGGAGTCACCCCAAAATTGTTATTTTGTGAAGTAGTCACTTCATTTTTCTGCTGTTAAACAGGAAAGTGCTGGACAACTTGAGATCAGTGCCTTCTCATTGATCTATAAGTAAGTACTATATTATAATGTCAGAACATGATCTCTTCATATTATTTAAATTATACATCCTGTAACTTAATAGAAGCACAAGTAACCAAAGAAAGTATTCATCATTTATTCCGTCATAGACATTAAAGAGTTTCCACCATTTACAGCTCTTAGCAGTTATAAAAATGATCTGAATCTTTGTTGGAATAGGACATAAATCTATTTGGCAGTTACTAAACAGTTGGCTTTAGCAGGAATTTATTGGGTCTGTCTAAAAAGCAGCATAACTCCATTTTCCTTGATTGTTTGTGATTTACATGCTGCCTTTTAAATAAGCTTTTTCAAGACAGAGTACAGTCAAGTACCATAAAAATACCATAAAACCTGTTATCTAAAATTATAAATTAAAGGCTAACTAATAGAAGCAGTTTCCAAGGCTTTTGTAAGCATTTAGCTATCATATTAAAACTGCTGAGACACTTTATCACAGTAAGAATGAAGACCAAAGGAAAAAAATACTGAGTTGATAGAAAGTGTAGTAGAACAGCTTCATGTATGATGGGGGTTGGCAACGTGTGGCTCCAGAGCCGCATGTGGCTCTTTGGGCCCTCTCCCACTTGCTCCATTCAGTCTCCATTGATAAGCAAGGGCTGGATGTCTGATCTGTTCCCTCTATAGTCCACTATAAACTCCTTGGTCTTATTGGTGTTGAGGACCAAGTTACTCTCTCCATACTACGAAAGCAGCCATCTACCTCATCTCAGTAGGCAGACTCATCCCCCCTGGAGATGAATCCCACCACTGTTGTATCATCTGAAAATTTAGTAATAGTATTACTAGCGTGAGTGGGAATGCAGTCATGCAGATAAAAAGTAAGAGTAACTCAACATGCAACCCTGTAGTGTACCAGTGTATCATATGCTTTGAAGAAAGATTTTTTTTTTTTTTTGTCTACGGAACTTTGGAGTCATCCATGTCATAGTTGTCCCAAAGGTGTTTTTTCAAGAGGCAACTGAACTTTCTAGTTTTTCTTTGAAGACGTTTTGCTTCTCATTCAAGAAGCTGCTATAGTTATGAACTTCTCATCCATTGGATGAGAAGCGAAATGTCTTCAAAGAAAAACAAAGTCCAGTTGCCTCTTGAAAAAAACATAATTGGGACAACTTATTTTTTTCCTGTCTCTTATCTTTGCAATTATCTAGCCGAGACTTCATTCTTTATCGGCACCCTGGAAAACCTGCTTCTTACGCTACTGACAACGGCTTTGAGGATAAGGTAAGCAAACTTGACCTATAAGGGAAAAAATTAAGGTACCACTCTATGCATTAGATGATATGCAAACCTGTTGTTTCTAGCTTCCTCAAGTACAAAATCACTTCAGCGAATATAAAACTTTTTATTAATTTTCAACTCCTAAAATGCTTGAAACATACTTGAAGTGAGACATTTCAGGAACTTTTTTGCGATAAACAATCCAGAAAAAAAACCCCACAGATTCCCTTTGGTAGCCTTAGTGTGCATTGTGTGTGCTTGCAGGTATAATTTTGAGAGGAAAGAGTGGCCACAGTTTATGTATCATGGGAAGATTGATGAGAACAGAAATTGGCCAAGCAACATTTGGAATGAGGTTTTTTTGAATTTTAGTCCAACACTTTTACTGTAGTTATTTTTATTTTACCCATATAATGATGCATAAGAACTTGATAAAATGAATTGGTTAACTATTACTAATATAATAGTAGCTAGAAAAAATTTGCAGCCAGTGTTTTTTTTAAGTTTTCTGATCTAGAACCACCAGAAGAAAGTATTAATTTTTCCACAAACCATGTGACTTTGTGCCCTGCCTTCTGCCTTCTGTATAAAAGGTTTATATGATTCATATTTTCACAATTATAGTGAAAATGTAAAGTATATACCATCCCTTTAATTTTTATTTGCATCTGTGATACAAGAATAGTATAGTAAAAATAGAATTCTATAGGCTATTTTAGTCTTCTAAGGTGTATGAATATTAAAAAATATGCTACCCCCTTAATACCACACCTTCATCATATCCAAATAACTAAAGTATGGCACTTATTTAACAGATTAATGGTGTCCTGATTTAATTGGACAGCTCTTGTGATATATAACTGAATATGTTCACAATCATACAAATCAATTTATGACACAAAATAAGTGTTTGCAAAATGTGCTTCATAAATAATATAAGAGCTATCATACATTGTTTTTCTTTTATGCATAGACATAATTTTAAAAGCACCTTTTTATTTGAACATAAATCATTTTTGCATTTAATCTACAAATGACATTTAACTTCTATCACCATACTGTTCTGTATGGTGATCAAAACAACACATGTTTTCATATTCCCAGAATTATTTTTAAGGTAAGATTTTTGCCTTTCAGATTCTACTGTGCTGTTCTAGCAATGGTCATTATGATTCTGTGTACACCAAACAATTTCAAGCCAATGCTGCAATCTGCCAGGGTAAATAAAACATTGTCTTTTCTATCCTACCACTCTGTTTTAAGTAGCATAATAATAAATCTGTCCTGTGTGAGATGTTTGCTAAGAATATCCCAGAAAGCCCCTATTTTTAAAAGCATATTGTCATTATCAGTCATCTAGTTGCGTCCGTCCCTTGGTCACTCTATGGAGCAGCACTCTCCATCCCTCTATCTTGCATATTTCTTCCTTCAGATCTGCCATGGTCATCTCAGTGTCATCCTTTATAATGTCCAGCCAGTGAGTGTTAGGTTGGCCCCTTCTCCCTTTTCTACTGATCACTCGCAGCATGATTGGCTTTTCAAGTGAGTCAGCTCTCAAGACATGACCAAAGTATGACAGCCTCTGTTTGGCAATCTTGGCTTTAAGTGATAATTTGGTAAGGTTCAGTCTAGGACCTTCTTTGTTATTTTTTTTTCAGCTCATGAGATGCATAACAGTTGCCCTCCAGCACCACAGTTCAAAGGTGTCCACCCTTTTCTCCTATCTGCCTGTTTAAAGTCCACATTTCACAGCTATAAATAGCAATTGGAGAAAAATTATTGTGTTAAAAAGTGTGTTCCAGCTTATAAACTTTTTATAAAGGTCAAACCCTTTATTTGCCTAGCTGTCCTTTATGAAATTCTATATAAGGATGTCTTCAAAGTGGATGAAGAAGAATTGAAAACTGCCCTTGAGATGTTTCGAAATGGGGCTAAGAAAAACAGAAACAGTGCATCTGTTGGCAGTGAAGATGCAAATTTTGATTGCCTTCCTGACAGGGCATCCAGAAATGCTCCAGAAAAGAGGTATGCTTTGAAAATTAAAAAGTTACAGTTATAGTCTCAGTAGACTTCTTGAGATGGTGTTCCAGAGCATCCTAACATGTCATGCCTAAGCTGGGAAAACTCAGAGGATTGATGGTCAACACCTTTGCTACCTTTAGCACAACTAACTGTCCCAATTCATCAGTCTTCTTCAGTAGTCAGCCAAAATTATTTTTTCCAATGAATTCTGGAAGCTGCTCCTTAACAAATTTAGGGAGAGGACACACTGGGTGAAAGAAAGTTGCTATCTGGAATGTATCTAGAGGTAAAGGGTGGTATCAACCCAACCCCACCAGCCAAGATTAAGAAAGCCAGAATTTACACAGCCTTCAGGATGGGTGGGATGCTACCGGTTCTGCCCAGCTGTATAGAACCGGTTGCAACAGACACTGAACCAGTTCTGTGTCTGCTGCTGTTTTGGCCCACTGGCCCACCCAGGCACTTACCTGTCCTTTATTTCCTGCTTTTTCAACCTTAGCTGCTTTGTGTATACACATGTCCATGTGCACGCAAAACATAATCACTGAACCGATAGTTACATCGGTTGAATCCCACCCCTGCTTCAGGATAGTATCTTGAATGCTAATTTTAGGGTAGATATAGAATCTTACAACTTCCAAGAGAAATGTCCCAAACTCATTTATAGTGACTTCATTCAGGCCATCTTCCTAGCTTGCTCACCATCTCAGCTGAGTTGCTGTTTATAAAACAAGCCGTCAACTGACTTTGCTCCTCTCATTTGTTGATGGCTACTTTCCCTTCCTTTCCCTTCTTGCAGTCTCATGGATGGAAACTCTTCCATGGATGGAAACTCCTCTTTCAAAGCTGCTGTCATCAAGTTGTTTTTGTAGGTCAAATTCTAAATCCAGATAGTGACACCAGGGAGATGTTTCCCAGATCATTCAACACTGGGTGGCACCACAATGCTGCTGCATTTTGCTTTTCCTGCTTCTGGGTTTCAGTATTGGACAGTGATGGATAGACGGTTTGCTTTTTTTTTTTTTTTGATCTGATGTGTCTTTAATTGTTTAGATTGGAAGACTGGGTCAGCTTTGATTCGGCCCACCCAGCGGAGGAAAAATGCAAGCAAGTCACAGAGGAAGGAAAGGTTTGACAATTTTCAGACAAGGAGATTCCATATGTGCATCTATGTAGCATCTATGCAGTCATATATGTAGCAGGAAGCACAGTTTCATGGCTTTACCTCTTCTTCCTTTTAACTTTGCCTCTTCTTCTGATACTACGCTGCTCTGGTTGAATACTTACATGTCTAAAATGTTTAAATTTGGCTACGGGGGAGGCAGATTTAAGGGCTGGGAAAATAACATCTTGGAAAACTATACTTAAGGTGTCATAAACATACTTCTGGCTTTCTTGAGCTGGGCTACCTAAATGTGGAATTTAAATATTCTGTTCTTAAGCCTTTCCTGTTCTACAGAGAGTTTTTTAAAACGCAAAGTCTCCTTTGCCATGTCCCCCCTTTCTCTGTATGTAGTTTTTTCAATACCTTTGCTTCTTTTGATATAACATACAATCATAGAGTCATTCTCTTAACTTTTTATCACTCTGCATTAAATTGTTGTTTGGATTTGAATTAATGACAGGTAGTCCCCAAATTACAACCACAATTGAGACCAAAATTTATGTTGCTAAGTAAAACATTTTTTTAAGTGAGTTTTGCCCCATTTGATGACATTTCTTGCCATATTTGTTGACTGCTGTTCTTAGTAATGAGTTAAGTGAATCTGAACTCCCCATTGACTTTGCTTGTCAGAAGGTTGCAAAAGAGATCACATGACAACCATCATTAATGTGAATCATTTGCCAAGCATCTGAATTTTGATCACATAAGCATGGGGATGCTGCAAAGATCATGTGTGAAAAATGGTCATAAATCACTTTTTTCAGTGCTGTAACTTCAAATGGTCACTAAATGAACTGTTGTAACTTGAGGACTACCTGTATAAGAGGGCTCTCCAACCTTGGCAACTTTAAGACTTGTGGATTTCAACTCCCAGAATTCCTCAGCCAGCATGACATCTGGGAGTTAAAGTCTACAAGTCTTAAAGTTGCCAAAGTTGAAGACCCCAGAACTATAACATGACTTTGCACCATTCAAAATAGGAGTGATGCAAACTCATAATGTAGTTTATCTAAACCTGGATAACTTGGGCTTCTCTGCTATTTGCCTTAACCCAAAATAGTGGCTGTTTTAAGATTAAGCAACCCTTCAGGAAATTGAGGCAGGATCCAAGACTAGGAATGAGAAATCAAAGTTGCTCTACTCTTATTTTACTGTGTCCTGTCAGCCTGGTATAGAGGATTATTTTTGGAAAAGGGCTCTAATCAGGTCACTATGCACATATTTTTCTTCTCAATAGAATGTAAGTTCACACATACACATTGAAAGTGAGACTAGCCAACTATGAGTTTATGTAGTTTACTGCTTGTATGTGTGAAACTTGTATGCATGTCTTGTACCTGTGGTTAATACTGAACATAGTTTAACCTAGGACTGTTTAACCCAAACTATGTCCTTTTTTAATTTTGTGGTCATTGGCTATCTTGTTATAAACAGAATTCCCAAGAGGAGAGGACTGCTTTGCACTTTGTCTCCAGGATTGGAACAAGCTCTAAATTATTTTGAATAAAAGCAATTAAATTAATTTGTCTCCTAGGAGATTATTGAAGTATAAAAATGCCTAATCAGTTGTTCAAGTTTTTTATTCCACTTTTGTTGCACTATTTGATATTTATCTTCTAATTGCCATGTGCAAGTTGAACTTCACATATTCTTGGGTGGTTGCTCACCCTAGAACATGGGAAGTTTAACGTGCATGTGGCAATTAGAAGATAAATATCAAATAGTAGGTGCAAAGTGTAAACCAGTAGATAGGTTTGAGCATTTCCTTTACAGTTGGCAGGTTAAAAGCAGTTGTAGCCAGCAGTTCTTCTAATTTGCTCCTCTTCAACTTCACAGCCTCCTGAAAACCCAAGGATGCCCTTTCCCTACAAAGTATTGAAAGCTCTGGACCCTGAGATCTATCGGAATATAGAGTTTGATGTTTGGCTGGAGAGCAGAAAAGGTAGTCTTGTCTTATGATTCACTTTGCACTTGAAAAATCTGTTCCATACCTTTGAACTGGATGGCTGAAGTCAAGCAATAACTGGTAGATGTTGTGTCCAAAAGGACGAACACAGCTGGCCTAGCAGCTGAATTCCCAATGTACGCATATAAAATTCTCATGTTAATAATTTGCTGTTTCCTGTAACAATCACAAAGTACAGCTAAAGAGTTGTTTGTCATGAAAACATGTCCCCTAAGCTATGTTGGGCTTAATAAATGCATAGTTCCAGTGGACCTTAGATTTTCTTCCTGGGTTCTGGTTGGTTAGTTGACAAGACCCACCGCAAAACCTACACATGTGGGCCATGTTTCATATGCAAAGGAGTACTCTAGTTTATACATTAGTCATCCTTGAACAGTCACCCTTGTTCCTAATGTAAATCATGTGCCCGTGGGGATGCTGGAAAGGCTATAACTATTAAAAATGGTCATAAGTCACTTTTTTCAATACTGTTGTAACTTCGAATGATCAAGTGAACTGTTGTAAGTTGAGGTCTACCTGTATTGGGAGTACTACCCTAGAAGGTAGTTCTTGGAAATGCACTCTTAAAACATCTATAAAGCACCAGATGAGGGAATTTGCATATACCCAATAATATATCAAAAACAGGGTGGGAGATGACAGCAAAAAATTAATTCTTATTTTGGAACTATTTGACTTATATTTTCCTTTATTTAACTGGAAACAACTAAGTGAGAATGAAGCTTAGAAGTTTTAATTATGAAGTTCACAGTAACATAAATAATTTCATCCTGTCTGTATTAGCTCATCTATTTGTTGTACAAGGAGTCCTTGTTTAGTGACTTCTTTGTTGAATGACAGTTTGCAGTTAAAACAGTGATAAAAATATATAACTGCAACCAGTCCTAGTTGCTGGTCCCAATTGTCACTAAACAAGGGCTATCTGTGCAGCCTTCTCATTTCTCTCCCCATCCCCAATTGTTGAATAATGAATCCCTAGGCAGTATGTGAAGACTTCTGCATTGGGGAAGGCTGTAGAGATGTAATATTCATTGGGTATGCATAATGTCCTTGCCAACTGCTGCTAATATCAGGAAAATAAGCCAGTTACATAATATTATTTTCCATGCAAAGCATTCTGTAATCAGATAGCATCCATGGATGCTTGATAAATAGCTTTAAGTTTTCTTTTGATCTTCCTTTGTAGAACTTCAAAAAACAGATTACTTGGTGTTTGCTGGAAGACAGTACTATTTAGGAGACAAATGTCAGGTTAGTGCTTTGTGTTTTTTTAGTAAAGATAATTGTTTGAAGTAACTTTGGACAAGTTCCTGGTTTCTGATCCTGACCTAAATTTCTCATTTAAAAGTACTTTGACAGAAGTAGGAATAGTCTTCAGTTAGTTTTCTGAGCTTCCTTATTGTATAAGAAGACCTCAGTTAAATTGAGGCTTTGTTGAGGTCTCCTCTTCATAATTCCACTGACTCCACTGTTTTATCCCCAATTTTCCACTTTATTGACCAACAAACCTTAGAGATATGTGTTGTGCAGCGTCTTTATTACATTTAACTTGATGAACCCTTTAGGGCCTATTGGAAAAATGGACTTACTATCATGACTTACTAGAGTAAACAAGTATAAATCTTGAAAATTTATAGATTTGCTCCATCTTGTTTCTGTTGATTTTGATGTGAGAGAACCAGGTTTCTGTGGCTCAGAGAATAAGGCTATGCTTTCTATGTCGAAGGTTCCATACCACAATCTTAATTCTGAAATATGAGTTTGATATCTCTGACCCTAGAATAACAAAAGTTTCTAATTATGTCTCTTGTTTTTGAGAAAAATTCCATGTATGGACTATTTCTTGATACATAAATTTCTGTTTGGCTTGCATGTTCTTGCAATCTTTATCCCAAATTAGGTGAGCTCCATTAGCTGAGATCTTCTCAGATCTCACTGGTGCTAAGTTACAGACCTGATACCAGTTCCAGTGAGTTTTCAAAAGAAACATAAATTTAACTTCCAATAAATCTTTATCCTACTTTATAAATGGGTTTTGCATTATCCCCGGACATTATACTACTTTGTTTCTGTGACTGCAGGAGAAAGAGGTGACAATATTTTCTGTTTTCTCCTCATATAATTTTAGTGCTTAACAGGGTTATTTCTAAAATGGTTCTGGCTTCTATCAAAAGCGTGTATATATGCATATGCATATACATACACACACGTGTGTGTGTGTGTGAGTGGTGGGATTCAAAATTTTTTACCAGTTCTGTGGGCATGGCTTATTTGGTGGGTGTGGCTTGGTGGTCATGTGACTGGGTGGGAGTGGCCAACTTGACATCACTCATGTCAAGTGGTGCCTTGCCTGGCCTCTCCTTGTCTCAAAGAGATACAATTTCCCTCTCTATTTATTTACTACTACTGAACATCCAAAAATACACTATTTAATCCTATGTATATATGCCACATGTGTACAAATAGATTACATAGTATAGTGTGTGTATAGACCCACAAAAAGATATACTATATATACTGTGTGTATGTACACACACAGAGCTCTTCTAAAACTATACACATTCAACCTCATTGCGTTTGAAAAAACACACCCATAATCCACTTTCTGCCACACATTTAATTATAAGTTCTGCACATTAGAACATTGCACATGTCTTCAGACTTACTTTCATAGCCTGCACATGACCGTTAGACCCAGGAGATGTCATGGATTGAGTAAAATGTGGTGAAACTCACTTAACAACACTCTTGCTTAGCAACCAAAATTTTGGGCTCAATTGTGGTCATAAGTGAAGGACTATCTCTGCCTTTCTCTGCATGGCAGCTTTGTCCTAATAAACTCCTCTGCCAATTTTCCTCTCTGTCAGAGGCACTATAAGGTCTGGCAGCACGCTTAAGCCAAAAATGAACCAAAACAAAGACTTAAACGGAGGCTTGCCAATCAAAGAAAGCAGGCTTTTATTTTTTGATTAAAATTAAAGATCTGGGAAAGAAGTTCAAAGCACATCCTGCTGGAGCAGGGGGTTGAACTAGATGGCCTCCAAGGTTCCTTCTAACTCTGCTGCCCTATGATTCTGTAAGGATCTGCTGCTGGAGCAGGGGGTTGGACTAGAACAGGGGTCTTCAAACTTGACAGCTTTAAGACTTGTGGACTTCAACTCCCAGAATTCCTCCTCCAGTCTCGTTAGCTCAGGAATTCTGGGAGTTGAAGTCCACAAGTCTTAAACTTACCAAGTTTGACTAGAAGATGATCTCTGATCCCTTCCAGCCCTAGATTGCTGTGCTGTTTCAAAGAGTCTTCTGAAACCAGGGTTTGTGTCCTTCCTTCCTCTCCTTTTTTTCTCTCCCCCCCTCCCCCCCCCGCTCCTTCCATGTCTCTATCCATATATCTTATTCACTTTCTCCTCCCTCCCTCTTTCTTTCTTTCTTTCTTTCTTTCTCTGTCTTCCTCCCATCCTGTTTTTCTTTGTCTATCCCTTCCTTTCTCTCTCCTTTTCTTTCTTTCTTTCTTTCTTTCTTTCTTTCTTTCTTTCTTTCTTT